CCCTGCCTCGGGGGGCGCTCCGTGGGGGGGGGGGGGGGTCGCTGCCCCTTTCCACAGGCAGCGTTTCGCTAGGGCGGGGCCCCTATGGGCTGGAACAGCCCCGGCCTGCTATGAGCAGGGGGCTGCTCCAGACCCCCCAGGCCTGCCGGGGGGGATGGGGGGGTCCAGCCTCGCTGCAGCAGCCCCTGTCCATGGTGGGCTCAGGGTACACTGCAGGCAGGAGCACTCCAGCCCAGCCATGGCAGGTGTGGGGATTAAATGTGACTTTGCTGCCCTAATTCCAGCATGGGCAACATGGACAGATTTCTTTGTAGTGCTCTGCAAAGAGAGCAGTTCTCCCCCGCTCAGTTGTCTCTTGGTAATGGGCGATTAGCTCTGTGACTGGCCTCTTCGTCGTTGTTCTTGATGGGCTGGAAATACGCTTTTCTCAATATGAACATGTTGGTAATGAATCTACAGTCAATATTCCTAATTTCAGATACAGAAATGTTATGGGCATACAAATAGAATATAAACATTCAGATGATCACAAGCTTTCTAGTGGTTGGTTACATGTAATGTTTTGTATCAAGCATATTCAAGTTAAGCATATTCATATTATAAGCATATTTTCATAAAGTGTATGTGACACTGTATTTCATAACTTCGAAGATTTGAGCTGCATGTTTGCTAAAAGTAACATGTTTTTAAAATAAACACATTGCTGGTGTAGAAAATATTTTCATTCTTATCTTTTTTTGGCAACAGGTGACGCAGAAATGATGGAGACTTTAGAAGAAGAAAATTTTGGTGTGTCCATGTAAGTAGTTCCTCTGTAGCCTCCTTTTGGAAAAAGAAAAACAGCCCAAATCTAGAGGAATAGTTCAAAAAATAGGGAAGGTTGTGGTCAGTTTTCCCTGTAAGATGAGGCTTGGGCAGCCACCCAGGAGGGATTCAGGTGCTTCCCAGATGATTAGCAGAGCACCCACTGCTCCCACAGCCAGAAACCTGTGTTTTCTACTGGTGGTGCACTTGCATTGGTGCATGTTAAAACCTTTGTTCTGCCCATTGATTTAAAAAAATTAGAGGGAACCCTGGTTGTAGCAAATGAAAAATTTACATGCCAATTATATACCTGGCAAAATAGAGGAAATTTGATAAATAAGCCTGGTGTGTTAAACATATGTACATAAAGATTTCACTCCTTTTAGTAAAATTACAAGAAACAACAGCGGGGTTGTAAAAAGTTTCACTTTTTAATCTGGTTCCACCTTGTTTTAATGTTCTTTAAACTAAAGTTGTTGTAATGATTATTTTGTTTCTGTTACTTACATGGTAAGGATTTGAAAACATGTTAAATTTTCCTAAATAAATAAAAATGAAAAGGGGAGAAAACCAAGGATGATGTTAGATCAGTAGTGGGCAACGACATGGTGGCGGTTTGCCAGTGGGCCAGCACTGCTATATTTACCTGCACGACCACAGGTACTAGCAATTGCAGCTTCCGTTGGCCATGGATCATCCTTTCTACCCAATGGGAATGGTAGGAAGCGGCACAAACTAGAACACCGCTTTGTGCAGCTCCTATTGTCTGGGAACAGTGATCTACAGCCAACAGGAGCTGCGATCGCAGATACCTGCAGCTGTGCAGGTAAATATAGCCATGAGGGTCTCATGGGAGCTAATCCTGGTGGACCGGATGTGGCCTGCGGGCCATTATTTCCCACTATTGTGTTAGATGATGTAGGTGAGAAGACAGACGCTCATATAAAGAACCGTCAGAACAATGATGCATTGGAGAGGAATATTAACAAGTGAGAGCTGAGGCAATATTGAACTCAAAATTGCTTGAACCTTCCTTTGATACCTAAAAGGATAATAATCCTCCTTGATCATGGTGTACTCCTAGGCATTCCCCTCACTGAAGGGCCAAAATAAACATTGTGGTGCACTTCCACAAAGGTATTTAGGTATCTAACTCCCCATTGATTTAAATGGAAGTTAAGAACCTAAATTCCTTTGAGGTTTTGACCCTTTAATTATAGCAATGTGTGTGTCTTCAAAATTTTCCTACTGAGGGAGCGAGCTACCATTTTCTGTATGTCCCTATTCACTGTTGTTGGAAGTTGTATTTGCTTGTGTTCCTTGAAGAGGGAGATGCATGTGGAGATGTATTCTTACACATAACTACAGACTGGTATTAATCGATGTGCGCTGTGGTTGAAATGAGAATATAAAATAAAAAATACAGAGATTCTTTTTTCTAACCAAAAGAAAAAATAATATTCTGTTATTTGCTGCTACCATAAATCTAAAACAAATGTTTAAATCAGAGGTGTGGAACCTTTTTTGGATCGGTGGCCTCTGACCCACAAAAAAATCAGTCAAGTGAGAAGTTTAAAAAAAAAAAAAGTGAGAAGGGAAAACATCACTAACCTGGCCCCCAACTGAGAAGCATTAAAAGAGAGAGAGACCCTGTCACAACTCCAGGGCTGGAATTCCCCTTGTGCTCCAGCCCTGTGGGGGTGAGGGAGGCTCAGAGTTCCCCACCCATGACCAGATTAACTTCTCTGAGGGCCCAGAGCTAGTAAATGTTGTGGACCCCCTCGAGACTCCAGGATGAGGCCAAAAACAGGAACGAGCTGTGAGGGCGGGGCATGGACAGGAGGTGGGTTGGGAGGTGGGATCTGGATGGAAGGTGGGGGGCAGAGTCTGGGAGGGGGAGGGAAGGTGCAGAAGCGAATTGGAAGAGTGGGGCCTGGGTGGGAGGGAGGGTGCAGAGTGGGCTGGGGTTGAGGTATGGGGTTTGGGAGTGAGAGGGCAGGGTATTGGGGTGCTTACCTGGAGCACCTCCCATTTGGCAGGGAAGAACAGGGTTCCATGCCACCCTGCACATGCAGACATCCTCCCCCACTGCTCTCAGTGACTGGGAATTGTGGCTTGGGAACAGCAGGGGAAGCCTGTGGACAAATGCAGGGACAGAGACTTCTCTCAGCCTTAGTGCTTCCACTCCTGCTGCTGTAGGAAGAGGGTGAGCCTCTCTAAGGCTGGATCAAAGTAATCTGGAAGCCAGATCAGGCCCATGAGGTGTAGGTTTCCCATCTCTGAATAAAACTAACAGTTTAAATTCAACAGTTCAAAAAACTATAAAAATGACTGAGCTGTTTCTTCCTGTATCAGTGTAGAATGGGGGTTGTGTGTGCTTCTTGCTTTTATACACAAGTAGTAATTACCGTTATTGTCTTGAATCATAAATGCTTTAATTACCTGGTGATAAGCTACTCAAGTTGTGGCACTCTGCCCTCTGGTGGTGTATCAGATACTCTGCCATTGGTGTTACCTCAGCAAAGGCATAGCAGATGGTCACTTTGGATCAGTGAAGGAAGGTGGTAGTATGCTAATTCTAAATAATGGAATTACTGGTGGATAAACTTGCTGAACTGTTGCTTAATGGCAATATCATTTTAAAGGAACTTTTGTAAAATTGACAGTTTAAAGCAATGTCCTTCCCATGACAGAGACAGAGAGAAACTTGTTAATATACTAGAGAATTTATTTAAATAGTAGTTCTGTGGCACCTTAGAGACTGACAAAATATATAATATCATGAGCTGTTGTGGGTAAAACCCACTTCTTCGGATGAAATAAATAAAGTCCATCCCTAACAAGTTGGTCCTGACATGCCAATGTCAGGGAGACTTTGGTATCAGTGAACAAATTGCACAATATAACCGTGCCAGAGGGTTCCAGACTTTTGAAATGCTGCTAATGTACTCCATTTAAGGAGTCCATTTGAAAATAAGCATATCTTTGTTATAAAATAACAGAAGACGTGTTTAGATTAACAGATTACAACATTTAGTTCTGACCCCCCAGCATGGTGTACTGCATTAGAGAGAGATTTAATAATTCCTATAATTACATCACTTACCTCTGCTATGCTGAGTCTGTGAGTGTATGACTCAGCACTCCAAAGGGTCCTCTATGGGTAGGTTTGAACAGTTCCAGGAGAGCCACAACCACCTTTTATGACTAGATGAGAGGCAGGTACTGAAACTTTGTTGTGACATAAGGTCATAGGATGGAAAATGTGGAGAACTGTTGCTCTAAACAATGATCAGGCAATAAAACGGTAGCAGTTTGCTAGGGTTATCCCCTGGCAGGCCACCGCTGTATTTACCTGCACCTTCACAAGTACCAACAATCACAGTCCCTGTTGGTACTGGGAGTGGCAGAAAGCAGCACAGATTGGGACACTAGCTCCTACTGGCCAGGAATGGCAATCTGTGGCCAACCATAGCTGCGATTGCCAGAACCTGCAGAGGCACAGGTAAATATAGCAATGGGGACAGACCAGGGGCTAACTCTACCAGACTGGATACCGTGGTATCTGCCCACCTCTGCTCTAAACAAACCTTTTAAACATCATCACAATGTGAATTACACTAACAAATTACACCACAATGTGAATTACACTAACAAAGCTACCCAGTAACACAATTCTTTTTTTCCCAGTAAGTAACTACCCCGTTAGTGTGCAATAGAGACCTAGTGAGATTATCTGTTACAGGAATAATCTTTTCATTATATTATTATATCATTATAAGTTTTTTATAATATAAAGTTAGTAGGTAATTCCCTTCTCTGATGTGCAGTCTGGGTTATTGTACTAACTTGTCTTCAGGCTTTCGTTAAAATTTTAATTGTTCCTTTCTTTGTTTTCAGTTCCTCTCCTTCAGATGCAGAATTTGATGCAGTTGTGGGGTATTTAGAAGATATTATAATGGGTAAACTTTTGCACATAGATATGTCTAAAAATGAGACGTACAAATGTTAAGAGGCAAAATAAGGATTAAAGTTCACTGACAGAAGTGTGTGAAGAAACAAATGCCTCTGCCTTTTCCATGTGTCCTGTGGTTCAGAGATTTTAATTCCTTGCTTTCATTAGCGCAAAACTTCCATTAAAATATAAAATCTTCAGCAAACTCTTTTGGATTCTGTTTTCCCAACAATATATTCATGGATCTTAATCATGTGTCTTTTCCTCTGTGCACTACTGGGAGACTGGAAACCCTCTCATTGTAGATAAAAGTTGTGGTAAATAAAGATCCTGATAAATCTGATAGAGATCCAAGGTTTTCTACTCTCTGGCCGTCAGTGTCACATGACATCCCAGTTACCCTCTGGATAAACAAACTGGTTTTGTGTGTTTGTGTTGCAAGTAATTTAGGCATACAGCCTAAGATGAAAGGATCTACTGGTGGTAAGAATGCCACGAGCAGTCAACAATTCTATCTTCTGGGTTTGGAAGGATAAAGGATCTAAATCCTCAAATCATACTTTTAAAGAAAGAGGTCATTGTTGAATCAAGAGGATTTACAAGATGCCAGGAGAAAGATGGAGTTCATTGTGTTAATGTGTCATTGATCTCTTCAAGTTAACATCTTCCTCCTTATTCAGATACCTTTCTAAGGGATCATAAAGCTTTTTATTCTCTTCAGTCTTATCTTGTCATATGTGTAGCTGAATCTGGAGAAACGATTACAGATTCACCACTTTTTAGTGGGTTAATTTGTAAAAGAGATTGGAGATTTGTGCACATTTATTTTAACACTATGTGTAAGTGTGTAATATATATTTGCACCTGCTGTGATATGTTAAGTTACTCTCCCTGCCCTTTTGCCTTCCTCTAGTTTCACTCATTGGCAACTGAACAATTGTCTTCTAAAGGTTGTAGCTTTCTGAACTCATTTTCAGAGATTATATTCTTCCTACATTGAAAAAAAAATCCATTATCTTTTTAACTGAGAAAAGTATATTTTCTTTTTTTTAAAAATAGTTCACTATTTTTAACTCACATACCTGAACAAAAAAAATTCTGAGTGTTTGAAAACTAATAACCTTTTTTATTATAAGTAAACGTTAAAGAACTGCCTTACTATTGAGAACATGTGAAAATGTTCATTAGAAAAATATTATAGATTGTACAAGTTTTGCAGCATTTTGCAAATTCTATTTCCATCATTACATGTACAGAACTTGCAACATAGATCAACACACTGCTATCCTGCTAACTTCAGTTGATTTGGCTGAAGCAGAATTTGAATCTGATGTATTACTTGCTGCAGCACCATCCACTTCTCCTAGCAGTCTCATATATGCTCATGTATAGGTCAGAAATTAAAGCTGGCAGCTAACAGCAGCTGTGCTGTTATTGTGACTAAGTCCATGTGTTCAATAGCAGCTATTAGAACAGAGCATTAGTGAATGTGGTTATTGTCTTGCAGTGAGAGTGGATAAATTGAGCGTAACTGTATGCAATTTACTTATTGTGGCTCAGATGACGATTTCCAGTTAATACAGAGAAGCTTTATGGAGAAACACTACCAGGAATTTGAGGATACAGAAGAAAACAAACTCATCTACACTTCTATTTTTAATGAATATGTAAGATTTTTTGATGGTTTAAGTCTAAAATATTAGCTGTGGTCTCTCTGAAATGTAGTAATAGCCTGTAAGCAACACAAATATGCTGGAGTTCCAAATTACTTGACTGTTTCACCATGAAAACTTCCACAAGTGTTTGAGAACTGTTTAATTCCTTTTGAATAGAAGGGTGTGTAGGCAGCCAATGTGTGGGATATAGTTGTGTTTATTTTAGTACAATAGAAATTGCCATACTGGATTCAACATCTAGTCCTGTCTCACGTCGCAGGCAGTGCCCAGCCATGGATGCTTCAGAGGAAGGTCAAGAAAGCAAACAGGCAGATTTGGCATTATCTGTCCTCCATGAAGGTTTCATCCTAATCTCTAATAGTGATTCTGAAGCATGGGACTCTCTAGCCCCCGCATTTGGGGCCTGGTTGTAGTTAGATACATTATCTGACAATTAAATGAAAAATTATATGACACATTCTGTATTCTTCCCTAGTGAATTGGTAGAAATTCTGTTGCATAGAGGCCATAAAAAAGTGGGAGGAAAACACTATAATAATGAATAGATTTGTAGTATTTATTCTGCTACTATACAGTATAATTTGAACCCATCATCTTTAAAGGGATACTGTCACATTTACCAGCTATTGTTGTAAATAACACAAAAGATTACTGAGCTTAAAGGAAAATAATGCTTCTGGGGTGGGGGGAGGGTTGTTTTTAATATATTTGAAAGCATAATGTAAAATCAGTTTCACAATTTCATCATTGTATGGGTCAAACAAGAGAGAAAACATCTATAAAAAAAGTCAGAAAAAGTGGTTGCAAAACTACAAAAATTGTTTGGAGGAACTTAGTTATCAGTTCCTTAAAATTTATTAACATTAGTTTCAGGTACTGGTTTCAAATAGAGGGGCTGTGACTACATTGGCATGATTTTGCGCAAAAGCATGCTGCCTGTCTACACTGGCGGGGGGTTCTTGCGCAAGAGGCCAGTGTAGACCGGCAACATGAATTTCTTGCGCAAGAACCGTTGTGCAAGAGGGCTTTTTCCTGAGCGGGAGCATCATAGTTCTTGCGCAAGAAAGCCCGATGGCTAAAATGCCCATCGGAGCTTTCTTGCACAAGAGTGTGTCTACACTGGCACAGATGGTCTTGTACAAATACTTTAATGCAAAAACTCGCGTTAAAAGTATTTGCGCAAAATCTTGCCAATGTAGACATAGCCAGAGAGTTTGCTGCTATAGCCTGTGATTGCAAACACACTTAAGGATTGCTCTTTTGTGGTATTACAAATTATTGGACAAAGCAATGATAATTGAAAGTGCAGACTTTTCCAGCTAATGGGATTTGAGATGCATTTTGCCTAAAGAAGACCCTACGCTTATTAGTAAAGTCAACATGTGGAATTTTTTATCATGTCCTCTCTTTTAGATCTTCTTAGTAGAGAAATACATAGAGGAAAAACTACTTGACAGAATTCCTGGGTTTAGTATGGCTGCTTTTACCATGTCATTACAGTAAGTCTTTGGTTTGGAGTATTTTTCTTATACTTTTGTCTGTATTAACCATTTTGTATCTTGGGCCAAAGTAGGATTTGATTTGTTTTTTCCTTTGTGGAAAAAGGTGTTCTGTACTTAAGCTTTCAAAAACAGGCTGGGTTTACCTTTACTCCAGTTCCTATTTTTTAAAAGAATGCAAATAAATGTAAATTTATTTAAAAGAATGTAAATAAATCAGTTATGGTGAAAAATCTCTTTGACATTGTCAGAGGGTTACTCTCAACTTAAAATAATTTCTGCTGTTCATATTTATCTTAATTAACTGTGTGGAGAATGAAGTTGTTAAAGGAACATATTTTCTTCTGAATAAGAAAATCAAGTGCTATTAGAAACAAATTCTTGTAAAAAGACTAAAACTGCTTCAGATATTTGAATAAAGCATTGAAAAAACTTGTATGGAGATGCAGTAGGATGGTTAGACCATCCATCAGTGTAAGGTACTGGGCTTTTCAATAATATTACGAGAATCATAATAGCTTAGAATAAGTCCTATGAAAGTGAATGTGTATTGTTCAATTAAAGTGAATAATTTCTTTTTTTTACTAGTGATGCCTGAAATACAGGCAGTCCCCGGGTTACGTACAAGATAGGGACTGTAGGTTTGTTCTTAAGTTGAATCTGTATGTAAGTCGGAACTGGCATCAGCCGCTGCTAAAACTGATCAGTTTCATAATAGCTTAGAATAAGTCCTATGAAAGTGAATGTGTATTGTTCAATTAAAGTGAATAATTTCTTTTTTTTACTAGTGATGCCTGAAATACAGGCAGTCCCCGGGTTACGTACAAGATAGGGACTGTAGGTTTGTTCTTAAGTTGAATCTGTATGTAAGTCGGAACTGGCATCAGCCGCTGCTAAAACTGATCAGTTTCAACCGCGGCTGAATCTGGACGCCAGTTCTGACTTACGTACAGATTCAACTTAAGAAACTCAGGTGTCCCCAACTCAGCTGCTACTGAAACTGATCAGCGGCTGATTCCAGGAACCCCGGGGCAGAGCAACTCTGCCTCGGGCTTCCTGTAGTCAGCGCTGGTCAGTTTCAGCAGCGGCTGACTTGGGGACGCCTG